AACAACAACAACAACAGGGGTAGTGACGAATAATGTCTCCATAAATTCAATCTGAAGTCTCAGTGAATTTACTCAGTGTGGAATCTTAAAAGTAAGCTAAAGATCCTGGCAAATGGTCTGCACTCAGCTAGTCACCCAAAGGTTCCCTGTTTGAATCCATTCAACAGCACCTGAAAAGAACCATGCGTGGCAAGTGGCTTCTATAAAGGTTACAGCCAACCCCACTGTGAAACCAGTGGAGTCTCCCCAGATGAATACATAAACAAATGACAAAAGTCGCTTAGTGAGATGCAGCAATCAAAACAGGTGTTTATAAATGCTACAAAACATGTTTGGCCTGTAAAGGTGAACTACTTCAAATATGCATTTTCTGCCTTTATTACTGCTGCTGGACTCTCAGCTGCCAGATCTAACAAGATCAGCATAGCTTAGAGCAAAATACACTGATTTGAAGTCAGAGAAGCCTAACTATTTACAGTCAACACAATCATATTCTGTCTTTTAAGAGTTCCAAGAAAAGAAACAGCCAACTCCTCAAGGACATTTAAGGCCATTCTTAATACAGAAAATTCTAGTCTTTAAAAGCATACTTTTCTTCCTCCTGCTAACCCAGTAATTAAGTTTTTTGAAAGGATGAATTCCTTTGAAAACCTGATGAAATAGATGAACATGCTCCCCAAACAAAAAGGAAACACATACACAAATATTTTAATACATTAAGGAAGAAGTCAGGGAATCCAGGATTTATTAAGCACCTTGTATGTGGTTGGTAATTGGCCTATTCACTACTGGGAACTTAGTGAACAAAATACTACTTTCAGGGAGTTTATGAGCTTATATTCTAGTGTGGAAGGCTATAGACAACATAAGATTTCTTCATTTTTCTCAGTCTTAGAGAACGAAAAAATGATTTGGTCTAGATTCCAGGAAAATACACTGTTTTGCCTTTATACAATCTTTTTTTCAGGGGACATCTTGTTGTGCGTCGTTGGGTCAATTGTGACTCATAGCAATTCCATGTGACACAGCAGAAATGCCCTACAGGGTTTCTGGAATCTGTTCAGGAGGAGATCACCAGGTCTTTTTCCTGCGCAGCCACTGAGTGGGTTCAAACTGCTAACCTTTCAGTCAGCAGCTGAGCTCTTAACCCCTGTCCACCAGGGCTCCTGGGGAGGGCTTCATCTTCAATGTATTAGAACAAGGTGGAAGACGAAGGAACAACAGGAAGAAGAGAATTAGTACTAAAATTGTGACTTCTGGATTATGTGGAGGGCCAGCCCAGTATCCTTCCAGGGCATCAAGTTTTTCCCATATTAAAAAACCAGAAGCAGTGCTGACAAATTAAAAAAAAAAAAAAAAAAAAAAGAAGAAGAAGAAAAGAAAAATCACTGTCATGCAAGAATATTGGAAGATTTCTTAAAACTTCTCTGCAAGTGCTATTTTTGTTACCCTTCTTTCCCTTTGTGATTAGCACTAGAATCATCTAGAATCATTGAAAAGAAGACACATTCCACTCTTCTTAGTGCATATTAAATTAAGAATAAAATGAAACAGCATTTTCAAGGAAATGGAAACATCCAAGGAAAAAAGTATTTTATCCCATTGCTCATCCAAGATTCATAAACCAGTGTATTTTAGTCAGAGAATTTTCCTACTACTTCAAAAAGAAGTAGGTCTAGTTCTCTAAATTATGCAGAGATTAAAAAGCAGCCTTAAACTTCCTCTTCTGAATAAACTTAACTGGCAATGTTGTTGTTGTTTGCCATCGAATCAGCCCCGACTCCTAGCGACCCCTCCTTGGGTTTCCGAGGCAGTTATCACTACGGAAGTAGGATTGCCCAACCTTCCTTCCGAGGAGTGGCTGGTGGGTTTGAACCGCCAGCCTCCTGGTTAGCAGTCAAGTGCCTTTGCACTATGCTACCAGAGCTCCTTTACTGGCAATATGACTACTAAATTCAAGGACCCTGGCTTCGGGATAGCTATTAACAGAACAAATGGGAACTCTTTTTCCTTACGCTAGTTATAAGCCTATCAAAGCCACCATATTCCCCTGAAAGACTTTTGCATTACAACATTCCAATTGAATTGTCTTGAAGGTATGGCACATTTTAACAAAACGAAACAAGTTTCCCAGGACCGCGTACACACTTGCAAAGCTGACGCGAGTCCACGACTTCTGTAACAATTCTTTCCTTAAACCTTGACTCATCTACTCTGTGCCAAACACTGTTAGCGGCTGCGGCTAAAAATGTAAGAAAAAGCGGAATACCAACATGTGACGAATACTAACACAGAGACGAGTGGGAGATAAACCATTACAATTCAAACCAATACAACTGATACAAGAGATTCCACCACGACAAAAAATAACACTTCACAAAGAGGATGACTTCAAAACAACACTAGAGGCAGTTCTCTTCCCTTAGCATTGTTTCTTTCCTTTCATATACTGTGATCCCGTCCCTCAGGATTAAAAATCAAGTGCAAGAGACTGTTTTCAATCGCTGCCTAGATCTCCGCTCTATCAAGCACGGCAAATATTCTGGGAAAATAGGGACTGGGCGCTCAAGGAGGCAGCAGCGCGTAAAACCTGACCAGAAGTCACATGACCTACAGGATAATCCCGGTAAGCAAGACCCCCTTCCGCAGCCAGACCCGAGGACTTGGGAAAAGGACCCTCCTCCAGCCTCTAGGCTGCCCAAGGCTCCCACCCTCCCTGAGCCCGGGTTCCAGCCCACCTCCCCCGGCAGTGGCGCCGCGACTTCGCGGAACTAACTTCAGGGCCTCACCTGCTTTTGCACGTCAGCATCACTGAGGGCCATGGCGAAAGCTCTGCTAGACCGGTGGACAACAGGCTCGAGTTTAGGTTTGAAGACAGCGATGGAAAAATAAAAGAGCAACACCCACCGTAGGTTTCAGCTTCCTTTGCTTTATAACCCCGGCTTCCGGTTCCTGCCAGGTGACAGCGCAGCCCACCCCAAGAGCTCTCTCAGCCAATGGAAAGAGAGCGGGGCCCAGGAAGTCCCGCCCTCTCCCCACCCAGTTTGACCTTCTCCTGATTGGGTTTACGGGCGTGCTGTGCTGCTGTGGAGTTCTTTTATGTCACTGGCTTTTGATTTCACCCGGCCCTGCTTTCCTAAACCGCCTGCTACTGTGTAGAAGAGAGAAAATGAGTTCTTGGGACTAACATTAGTCATTAGTTATCATGCCTTGTTTGTCTCTTTTAATCTGGAATAATTCCTCAGACTTTCTTTGTATTCCCTCTCCTTGATATTTTTGAAGAGTACAGGTACAGGCCAGATGTTGAAAGGCCCTCAATCTGTCTAATATTTAACTCATAATTAGATTCAGGTTATGCACGATAGCAACAGGACTACATGTGTGATACTGTGTCCTCAGTGCATCCCATAAAATAGCAGTTTATCCTTTTAATGAGGATGTTGTTATTGCTGTTTCTCATAGCGACCCCTCCTTGGGTTTGCAAGGCAGTATCACTACAGAAGTAGATTGCCCCATCTTCCTTCCGAGGAGTGGCTGGTGCGTTTGAACCAGGAGCCTTCTGGTTAGGCAGTCAAGTGCCTTAGGCACTACACTACCAGAGCTCCTTTTAATGAGAATAGCACCCATATACTTAAGATGCTGCCAAACTGTTTCCCAGTTTGTACTGTACAACGTTCCTAGTAGTGTGTAACAGATTTTACACTTAACTGAGAAGTCTGGTAATGTAGGATAAGAGAAGGATTTAACCACCAAACAAACAAAAAAAACTCATTGCCATCCAGTCGTTTCAGACTCATAGCCACCCCCATTGGGTTTCCCAGACTGTAAATCTTTATGGGGGAGCTCTGGTGGCTTAGTGCCTAGGGCATTTGACTGCTAACCAAAAGACTGGAGGTTTAAAGCCACCAGCTACCCCTAGGAAGGAAGACTGGGCCATCTACTTCCGTAGAGATACCACCTCAGAAACCCAAGGAGGGGTTGCTATGAGTCAAATCTCCTGGATGGCAGTGAGGTGGTTTTTTTTTTTTTTTTTTTTTAAATCTTTAGGGAAGTAAATGGCCCGGTCTTCCTTCCGCAGAGCAGCTGGTGGGTTTGAACTGCTGACCTTACAGGTAGCAGCAGTCAAGTGCTTTATCCACTACCCCCACCAGAGTTCCTTGCATTAACCACAGGACAATAGAATTAACAGGGCAACAAGTTAAAGTTGACTTTAACTTGATCAATATTCTAATAACTGAGCTAAACCAGGTGACAGGATTGTTTCTCTCACTTTGTTAATTCTTGCAGTAATAACCTCATTTTTCACTATCCGAAAAGACAGATTCTTAGGATTCTACCTCCGGTCAGCATTCTTAGCCCAGGATGAGGTAGAATTCACACATTTGGATTACAACCCACCTCCAATTGATTTTTAAAATATTCTGCATATAACGAGATGGGGAGTGGAAGCAGCAACCTAATGTCACATATCATATAGGTGATGAAATTAATGCTTAGAGTAAAGGTAGCACTATCTAGCTCAATGTGCTTTTGGTTCAATGATCAATATGCTGATATGATTTATTTATTACTATTTTGAAACATTAAAAACATACAGAAAAGTACAAACAATAGTTCAAATATGAAGGGACCAAACCCAACCCACTGCTATCAAGTCCATTCAGATTCACAGTGCCCCTGAACTGCCCCATAGGGTTTCCAAGGCTAAGAAGTTTACAGAAGCATACTGCCACAGTGGCTGATGCGTTTGAACCACCAACATTTCTGTTAGCAGTTGAGCACTTTGACAACTGCACCACCAGAGCTCCTCGTACCATGTACCACCACCCATAATTGACAATTAGCATTTATTGCATTTCTTTCAAGATTTTTATTTAAATTAATTAAGTTCAGATACAGATACAGTTTATTGACCCTTTCATGCCTGCTCCCCCATATTAAAAACCAAAATCAAACCCATGGCCGTGGAGTCAATTCTGACTCGTAGTGACCCCCCCACTGGGTTTCCAATGCTGTAAATCTTCACGGAAGTCGATCATCTCATCTTCCTTCCATGGAGCAGTGGTGGGTTTGAGCTGTGGGACTTCTGGTTAACATGCAAATGCCTTACCCATTACACCACCAAAACTCCTATGTTCCGCATATGCTCTCTAAAACCACAGCTCCTGCAGTGTTTTGCTGATTCACCAAGGAATAGGCCAGGGCCTGTCTGACAAGAATGTGGTAAACTTCACAAAGACAATCCCTAGAGTGAAAAAGTTATTATGGGTAAATGCAGAGTAGCCAACTGGTAGTTTTCCAAATCCATTATTTTCCTATACTGCCTTGGTCTTCTGATGAAACTATTAAAACAGCTAAATGGAAATATTTAAAAAATCCCACTGCTGGATAAACGTATTTGCCTGTCTTCCCCAAAATCACTGGCCTAGGTAACTGTCAGGTTAGTCACAAAGAGATGGTTTGCAGCATTGTTTCACCTACTCCCATGCTGAGGCTTCACTATGTGGTTTAATCAGAATCGAGTCAGCAGAATAGATGAGCTAACTCATGAGTTTCTTTGCTAGGGAGGTCCTAGAGGGAAAGACCAGAAGTTAATGTAGATCATTTCCATCTTTAAATGTTTGAAAATCAATTTTAAAAGGGAAAACAAACGGTAGCAGAAAGTAGCATAAATTTCATTAAGGTGCCCATACTTTTTCCCTTTTCCAATCAATTTTCCACACAGTAGAGTGATTTAAAACCCAGATGGCATCCATCCACTCCTCAATTTATAATCCTCTAGTTGGGCAATCTACTTCGGTAGTGATATTGCCTCAGAAACCCAAGGAGGGGTTGCTATGAGTCGGATCCGACTCGACTGGCAGTGAGTTTGTTTTTTTTTTTTTTGGTTAGTAGCTTCCATAGGAGTTCTAGTGGTGTAGTGGTTAAGGCATTTGGCTGCTAACCAAAAGGTTGGTGGTTTATAAGCTATAACCTAGCAGCTGCTCTGTGGAGGAAAGATTTACAGCCTTGGAAAGCTTATGGGGATTTCTATGGGCCAGAATCAACTTGACGGCAATGAATTTTGTTTTGAGTAGCTCCCATTTGCTCCTGAACACCTCACAACATGGCCTCTATGAGTGCTTCCTGATCAGGGTCTTCCTCAATTTTCTAGATACAAGTTTTTTGTCAGATATATGTTTTGTGAATATTTTCTCCTATAGTTTGTCTTTTCATTTTCTTAATGGTATATTTTGATGAGCAGAAAGTTTGGATTTTGATGATGTCCAATTCAATTTTTCTCATATTATTCATGTTTTTGGTGTCCTAAGAAATTTGACCTTCCTCAAGTTTGTGAAGATATTTCCCTCGTTTTTTTCTAAAAACTTTACAGCTTTTGCAATTACATTAAGATCTATGATCCATCAAATTGATTTTTGTATGTATTGTGAAACAGAGGTTGAGATTCATTTTTTCCCCATACATTTATCTAGCTGTTCCACAACCACTTGCTGAAAAGAATTCCCTTCCTCATTGAATTACGCTGGTGCCTTTTATCAAACACCAATTGACCATATGTACGTGGGTCCATTTCTGAACTTATATTATATTCTGTTGATTTGTCTATCCTTATGCCAATACAGCATCTTAGATACTACAGCTTTGTAGTCAGTGTTATTATCAGGTATTGAGACTTATAATTTTTTTAAAGATTGTTTTGGCTATTCTAGGTCCTTTGCATTTCTGTATTAATTTTTAGAATGAACTTGTCAACTTTTTTTTTTAACAGAAAAAGCCTGTAGGGATTTTGTTTGGGATCGCTTTTAACATGGAGACAGATCAATTTAGAAAGAACGGATGTTTTAACAATACTGAGTCTTCTACTTTCTGAACATGGTACAGCTCTGTATTAAAGCTTAGTTTCTTTCAGCAGTATTTTAGTTTGTATAGATTCTGCATTTCTTTAAAAAGAAACTTACTTTTTAATGCAACTATAAATGGTATAACTAAATGTTTTACTTTCCAGTTGTTTGTTTCTAGTATAGAAATTAAATTGATTTTTATATCTTATGACCACGCTAAATGCATTTACTGGTTCTAGTAGTTGTTTTTAGATTCTATAGGATTTTCTATGTAAGCAATACATAAAATGTGATGTTTTAAACAGAGCTCTGACTATATATCCTTACTTAGCTATATTCTATTGGCAAAAAACTGCAAAGAAATCTTAATCTTCACTCAGTTTTATTATACTAGTAAATATGTATTAATTTTGCTATTATTTTTATGTATGTTGTTGTTGTTACGTGCTGTCAAGTCATCTCTGACTCATAGCAACCCCTCCTTGGGTTTCTGAGGCAGTATCACTACGGAAGTAGATTGCCCAATCTTCCTTCTGAGGAGGGGCTGGTGAGTTTGAACTGCCAATCTTCTGGTTAGCAGTCAAGTGCCTTAGGCACTATGCCATATTGTTGTTGTTGTTCTTATGTGCCGTCGAGTCAAATCCGACTCATAGCGACCCCTCCTTGGGTTTTCGAGGCAGTATCGCATAGTGGCTAAGACACTTGCCTGCTAACCAGACGGCTGGCGGTTCAAACCCACCAGCCACTCCTCGGAAGGAAGGTTGGGCAATCCTACTTCCGTAGTGATACTGCCTCGGAAACCCAAGGAGGGGTCGCTATGAGTCGGGTTTGACTTGAGGGCACATAACAACAACAACAACAACAATCACTAAGGAAGTAGGATTGCCCAACCTTCCTTCCGAGGAGTGGCTGGTGGGTTTGAACCGCCAGCCGTCTGGTTAGCAGGCAAGTGTCTTAGCCACTATGCTACCAGAACTCCTTGCCAATATAGTATAGGATAAAACAAGTAAGTTTAGATTGTTATTAAGAACCAAGATTGTGCAGTAAGAGAGAGACATAAATATAAAATTGAAAAAAGAAAAGCCCTTAATGTTATATTTGAATTAGAGGTATCAATTTGAATTTATGACTTTAAATAAACCCATTGCCATCGAGTCAATCCCA